TCGTCTCCCGAGAGTCAAAGTGAGGACCGCTTGTAAGAAGGCAGCAGCGCTCATCCGATGGAGAATGGCAGTGTGATAAAAATGTTGATATTTCCACCTATGAACCGCCAAAAGGAAGATAAGTCATCTCATTGTTTGTTTGCACAGGAAGACTTACACTCGACTTTGATTATTAATGTCAGCCAAGCCAACATTCTCTTCCAAGTCCATCTATACCGCAATGATGTTGCTTGAAATGTTTCACTAATTTGAGCAATAGCCTTACATGTGTACACTACATGGATGTCTGCAACTCTACAAATGGGCCCATATTTATAGCAGTATCACCCAACAAACTAAATAATTGCTGGGTCAAAAACGGATCTTCTGTGCCCACATGAGGCCTGATTCTATTTTCTAAGGAAGACAAGCATAACATCTTGACTTAAAGCTTTCGTGACTGCTTGTGTTGCGATCGAAACGTCATAGTTTTTGTTGTTTTGTGATTTTCTTTGAACCTATCTACGTGACTTGACCGAAAGACCCAAAGAATTAGACAAGCATAAGTAGTATGTGAAATCTAGCTTTGAAAACCACCGCCACCAGAACAGCCATCAGCCATTGCAGGCATACAACTTATCTTAAAAATACAAGGTAACAAACAAGTAACTCTTACTTTGTAGATAATTAAATAGGCCGTTTCTTGGCCTGTACATCAAACAAGGGTATGTGTTTAATGAGAAACAAAAATACATTAAATTTACGATAAGGTGCTCCATTTTGTGTTCCAGTGGTGTCACTGTAATCACTTCCGTGCATTTTACATCAGTGCAATTGTCACGAGAGTGCTATGATGGACTGAACTAAGATTGTAAAGTCCTTTTTTATCATTTACGAATCCAAAATCCCATGTGCGATAGCTTGGGACAAATTGCCTCGGTGTAAACTTGCAAGCTTTAAATGATTCGTTTTTTCGGGTTGCGTCTTTCATTGAGCAGATATACAAAACTGAATATTGACTTAAAGCTTTCGTGACTGCAGGAATTCATATCCTTGGGTCTTTCGGTAAAGGCACGTAGATAGGTTCAAAGAAAATAATTAAAAATAACATAAAACTACGAAAAAAGCCTTTTTTTGCTGAAGACGACTGCTTGCGTTGCGATCGAAACGTCGTAGTTTTCTGTTACTTTTTATTTTCTTTGAACCTATCTACGTGACTTTACCGAAAGACCCAAGAATATACGAAACTGCTTGAATTAAATCCAGTGTCATAGTTCCAACAGCTCTAGCATATGTCAAGGCCAGATGGTATTTTATCCAATTGATTATGCTCTACAACAGTGGTCCCCTGACTTTCTGGACCACTGACCCACTGTTGAACCTCACCCATCCTTTTCACAGACAACCATGCAGTAAAGAATATGGTGTTTTGTGAAAAAACAAATCACATCTTGAAAATTCTGCAGACGACTTACCACAGCCTTGCACACAATCAGTGGTCTACGGAGCACAGGTTGGGAACTACTGCTTTATAACAAACCACACTAGATTATGTGCATATTTACAATTGCTTGTGGTGCGATGGAAACATTATTTTTTTTATTTCCATCTATGTGACTTTATGTTTGTAATATTTTAATACAAATTGTATGAGATGAAATCTTTTATGAACAAGGACATGATTTTAAAAAAAAACATCTCTATGGCTAAGAGTATTAGTATTGGACAATATGTGGTAGTGGTTCAGTAGCCTGTAAAACATTACATTGTCTTTGAACTACAGACAGTAAATGGCAGAGTGAATGGAAGAAGAAAAATAACTTACAAAGTGAAATGTTTTGAAATGTTGATGCCGTCTTCCGATTTTTCCACTGCAGCACTGATAACGTTTCCACTCTCAGTTTTTTTATCGTCAACTTCAGCTCGGTTCACTTTTACACCACTTCGAGCTTCATTCAACAAATCAACATCCACCGTGGCAATTTTGATGGCTTGCTTATTGCTGCTGTGAGGTAGATGCTGTGATTTCCATAAAACATCACCATCCTCTTTACGATCTGCTCCAGCACCTGAACTTTTAACATGCTCATTTGCCGGATTTACTTCAATTTCCAAGTACTGAGTTACAGCAACCTGCTGCTCAACGCTCTTATTATCCTTGTCATCCTCATCATCATCTGCTTTACGCCACTTAAAGAGGCTTTTCAGCGATATCTTTCGCTTGGGCTTCTGTCTTGCGACATGTGGCTGGGGTTCCAGCATCAAAGTGGGCACATCTTTCTCTGGCGATTGAGGTGGAGATATCACTTTCCTCTTGCTGCTCACCTGTGCCTTAGGTGTACTGTAAGGTGGGGGTGAATATGAAGAACTGTCCTCACGAGACTTTTTACGGGAGCATCCATGTGATGGCTGGGTAGTGAATGCGCTCGAAAGGGCTTCAATCCTTTCCCTTATGGTTGCCCCCTTTGCCGTATGAGCATTAGTTTTACCATTATCCAATTTGGAAAAGGACAAGTTTTGTGGCCTGGCTACCTGAAAGTTAAATGATTTTGAACGTACAACTTGCATAGCATGGGAGGGCGATTCTGCAGATGGGCTATCTGGTTGTTGATTGTGAGTCAGTTTTGGTTCCATCGGTAGTTTGGTTTGGATAGCTTCTGGTTCATCATACATACATTTTTGTATGTCTGTTCTTTGACTTGTGCAAGACTTTTTTGAATCTTCAACAACATGTGGTCTCTCAGAAAGAAGACTCTTCACAGTATCTTCAGTACGTTTGTAATCGTGTGTATGTTTTAATTCTGAAACATTTTTATTCGAATTATTAAAGCTACTTTTGCTCATGATTTCAAAGCTACTAAGAGCTGGTGTTTTAATTTCTTCATAAGGATGGTTTTTGGGCAGTTTAGCCTTACCCCTTTTCAGAACATTTCCTGGTCCAACAAAACTTTCATAACAGGAAAGGTTGTCATATGCGCCTGGATTTATTACTATGGGAACCTTCACTGCTTTCCTCTTGCAGCTTTGTGAGTAATACGGCTCGTCATGAATGATTATAGGAAATGGGGGCATCCCTGCATTGTTGTAGCTATTAAATTTGATCTCGCATGTTTTTGGTGATGAGATATCCATAATTTTCGTAGTCACTTTTGAGCCAGTTGACTTTTCACTGCCAGAATTCTGCAATTCTGCATTATCTTCTGGAGGAATGGGTGCATTTTCCACATCTGATGCAGTGTCCTTGATTATGCTATGAAATCCTTCACATGAACCATTATCTTTCAAAACTAGCGGATTGTGAGAGCAGGCAGTCCACATTTCATGATAGAATTTACCCCCATGTTTATTCTCAGTCTGCGAGGAGGGCATAACTTGCGGTGTGGCATACACAGTAGTAGGTTGCAATATAGTAGTTGATTTTGGATCTGAATTTGGTATTTGGTTGGTTTCTGAATTTTCAGAATCTTTTTCGTTCACTACAGATGACACATCAACAACCGTGTAAGGCTTGCAAACTGTAACAGGCTCAGATCTAACAACTCTATATGGCTTCAATAACTGATCTCTTGGTGACTGGACAGCATTATCAGTTTGTGTTTTATCATCTTCCATACTCAACTGGCGACTCCTGCCTTCCAAATGAATTGTAAGGACAACCTTCTGTTTTTCTGCCTTCTTTGTTATTAAATTGTCTTTCATACCCTCGTGGAATTGTATTTCTGCATTCTCTTCATCACTAATTGTGGCATAATCTGGCTCAAAGTCACGACTGTTTTCTATCTTTTCACATACTTTTTCAGTTTCAACAGTTGGAGGTTGTTTGCTTGAATTTGCTTGTAAAGAGTCTTTTGGCTGGCTGTATGGGTACAGTTCTGCAAAATCTGATGAAGAGGACTCAGAATCAGAGGATGTGTCTGAGGCCTCAAAGGTCCCCTGGCTGTGTCCAAACTCTGGATACAACATAGCTAATGCAGGATTCCGAGGGTCACATTCTAGAATTTCATCATAACTGTCATCGTATTCCAAAACACAAACTCGCTCCATTGACTTTCTGCCCATAGGCACAGTATTCCATTTTTTGTTGAATCCACCTCCTTGCTCACCCTCTGGTAAATCTCCTTCTTGGAAATCAGGCAGCTGAAGCTGAGAACTTGTCACAGGCATTCGTGAAATGGATTCACAATAGCTGTCTTCCCAACCCTCCGCCACATGAATATGTTGCACTATCCCTTGGCCCTTAAGATTGTCTTTCTCTTGATTGGCAACCTGAAGGTTACATCTTGTAGACTGTGACGTTTTTGAACTCTCGGAGCTGTGCGTTGGACTCACATGCTGAAAATGCGAACCTCTTAAGCTATCTGGGTTTGAATACATTAGTTCAGTAGTCCTAGTGTTCTCAATGCCATGTGTTGACAACACCGGGGCCAAAAATCCTGTCTCTTTATACATTCTCGCTTGTCTCCAGCCCTGCTGTTCTTGTCCACTATGGCATAAACAAGGTCCTTGTAAATCTTGTGTCTGCCTATGCTTACTTTGTGAACCAGTTCCACGTTGCTCAGAAGCTAGAGCACCTGCTTGCAATTCAGTAGCTCTTGAACCTACACCACCAGTACCACCTCTGCTTTCTGGGTGTAATTCATCTTCCTGAACGGCAATTACTGGTGATACAAATAGTGGCCTTCTTTGATCAGAATGTGACTGTTCTCGTTCTTCACCCATTCCCAGGTCTTTCCCTTCAGAAGACATACGGGTAGGCCTTACAGCAATGGTAGGTTTATTCACAGAAGCTGTTTTTAATGACTCCAGCCCAATATTACCCTGACCTGAAGAATGCATTTTGATGCCTTCTGCAGCTACACTAGAAATTGAAGGAGGCTGCCTCCCACTTTCAAAAACTACCGCAAATCTGTTACTTCCAGCTTTGGTCACGTCAGATCTGTTGGAACGGGAAAATGCAATTCGTTCCGAATCCGTCACAGCCGTATGGAGGGTCTTTGATTTGAAACAGTTCTTGCATGCACCTGGTTTCCATGCGTGCTCGGTAAATGAGTGACAGGCAGACATCTTCGGTCAAAGTTCCATCCAGTACTGTACTTCTTTTCTTTGCAGCCTGCGTTAAACCTGTAAAACAAAAGTTGCATTTAGGGAATAATATTACTATTCACAATCAAATGTTTTAAAATATTTGACGGCATGTTTATGTAACTATTTGTCAATATTTTTTTTTTTCTAAACCACACCAATATTCCAATTAACTTTAATATGGAATTATTTTCGGACATTGTAATCAAGAATTGCATACATCAAAAGAAAAAAGTTTATAATTTAATGTATAGCATAACTCCAATATATTGTGGTGATATGGGAGCAACATATCGCAGCGCACTGTTGATGCGAGTCCTAACATCAACAAAAAAATGTTCAGTCGCAGTGTGGCAAATATTACTGGAGCAATGAGCTGCGCAATTCTATTCATTCACGTAAAATACATGCGATTACAGGGGAACAGCAGCATGTGACTAGAAGCTCAATCTATCTATCTACAAGTTTTTTTTAATGAGAACCAAATGGTACAAATCTGCAATATGGGTATAAAGTCAAGGATTTTTTAAAACTTAATATTGAAGACGCCGATCAAAACCATCACGTTACCATACATAGCAGGCGTTACCAAAAAGATTGCTAAAATCTTAAAAAAACACAAGACCCAGGTCCGATTCAGTACAGTACACAAAATCCGTTATCTAATCCCATCTGTGAAGGATGTCATTCCTGACTTGCAATACCCTGGAGTCTACAAACTAAGTTGCATCTGTGGTGATTGTTACATTGGGGAAACGAAACGTAATGTCTCTGACCGGATCCGCGAGCATAAGTCAGATCTGAAACACGGCAGAACTAATTCCTCAGCCGTTGCTGATCATTGCTATAACGCTGTGGGCTCCCATGATATTGTTTTCTCCGAGACCAAGGTGCTCTGCAAGCCATCTGGCTACCATCAAAGATTTGGTCATGAAGCCATCCAGATATATAAACATAACGTCACCGAGAGGACGGATATAAATTGAGAAATCATTGGAAAGATGTTATTAACCAAGTAAAATTTAACTGTTCATAGTTGTTCCATCTTATTTACCGGGTATTAGTCTATTTTACTGAGTTAATTGCATCCTCAACGTTTAGCAGTGCGGCTATTTTGCTTTGGATGTCATCATCTATCTTGGCAGCAATAATGTTGCCTTCTTACTCTCAGCGTCTCTGCTGTACCTGGAGTGTACGCACTCCTCGCACCATTCACCCCCCCTATCCTGCCCCTCTCTGACTTATGTAACTGCTCTAACCCTGGTCTCTCTCCCGCTTCAGTAAAAATGTCCTTGCTGTGGTTGACACACCTGATGATGATTGCTTGTGTTGCAATTGAAACGTCGTGATTTATTTATCTCTATTATTTATTTATTTTTTCGCCTACATGACTTTACCGAAAGAATCAAAGAGTATGGATCCTTGCAGTCACGAAAACTTCAAATCTACAATTAATATTGAAGTATAAAAAAAAAAAACTTAATTCTCTTGTAAATAAATCACATCAGCACAGCTGATCTGTGCAGATGCAAAATAGAAAATATGCATTTCACCCACCTTTGCAGCTCTGCAATTATAATTGCAACTCCACAATTATATTTGCAGATGCACCCTTTAAACACTTCAGAGTTTGAATTGTGCATTGCGCAGCACATTAAAACATTTATGGTAAAGCTACTGAAAGCAGTCGTCATCAAACGATGGTTCACCCCCACCAACATGTGACTAGCTTCCCCCCCCTCTCACGTGCACGGGAACTCATCGCAATATTTGCCCTGCACCCCCGCCCCCTCACCTACAGCTCCCCAAGGTTTCACTCCCTTCACACATCCTTCCCTAGCCGTGGACCCCTCCCGGGCACTGATATACAGAGGCATACCGCTTATGGCACTCAGGATGTGCTCTTGGTAAATGGAGGGCTATGTGAAACAACGCTATAAGAGGTAATTATAACATGAACGCAATGAAATTGCATTCTGACATGCGTAATTTTTTACCAGAACAAAATATGAAGGCTCTATTGAGGTATCGGTTGTAATCTTAATAATGATATTGGTACACAAGATACATTTATTTAAATAATTTTAGAAATAAAATTAACTTTGAATGATATAAAAAATACGATAAATTATGTACCCCACTAGTGCATTCAGTCTGTGCTTATGTAAGATTAACCACCATCTGCCGTAAACGCACGTTCCACGGGAAGCTATACTAACCAATGTGATTGCTCAATCCATGGGTCGCCAATGAATCCATGCAGGAAATAACCCTCGCTAAATCGATACTTTAACGTGGGTGTCGGATCGACTATGAGCAGAATTAATACATAATTAATACAATAGACCATATATTGCCAAAGACATGCCCTTACCGGGAACGCCATCCCTACTTTCTTCCATATATGGGCTGATCCGTGTGGGAATATTCCTCTAGGATAGAAAGCGTGATAACAAAATAGCGTTATAAGAGGACAGTGCATGCATATTATTATCAGTGCATATTATTATGCATATTATTATTATCAGAGTTGTCTTTTTTGTTTGCATTTTGACTGCTTGTGTTGTGGTCATTGCAAACATGATGCCTTGAATAAAGGTGTCAGTTTTTGTGCCAGTTCAAAGGGTAAAACCTATTCCTAAACCTTTAAACTCGTATACGAGTTTGCTAAATGTTAGTGGCACACCGAACCAAGAAATCCCAACTGTGCATGCCCGACAAAGGGACTTGAGAGGCTAATGGCTGTCTGCCGTACTGCGCTGCGACCAGTGAAGAGGAGAGGGTGGAAGCTGGGGGGCCGAATCGGCCACTGAATGGCACAGCGGGTTTGTCTGTCCTGGCTTGTGAAGTGAGGTTCTCGCTTTTCCGTTAAGTCCAAAAATACCACGGCACACCTGCGACTTTGCCGCGGCACACTGGTGTGCAGCGACACATGGTTGCAAAGCACTGCATGCAGGATTCCTGCACAGAACCATTTCTTATTCTACATGAGAGGAAAACATTTTCATTTGCTGGGTAGGAGCATAAAATGTGACGTTCGTTGCATCTTTTGATGTACAAATATAGTGTTTCATAACGCGACAATTGATGTTAAAATGTATGGAGGATGCACTTTGATGTTTTGCTTTTGTAATGCACAGCTGTATTTCATGAATTACTTTTAGCTTAAGGCTGTGAAACCTAGACAAAATGTTAAATGTATCAAATATTAATATTTACATAAACCGTGGCCCAAAGCACAGAATTAGTATAAAAATTATGTTTGCCAGGGTGTAAAGCTAAAGCATGCTAGTAAATAGCCACTAACATTTTCACACACTTGCATTTCCGTTAAATACAATATCAAAACACTACTCTCATCATTCAATCGCAACTCATGATCTATGCTTACTGCTAAAACTCACAAATAACACCACTTATGTTTAAATTCTCACAGCTGCAGTCATCTCTAAAACGAACCACCCACAATAAAACGCAATCCTAACATTTTCCATTCAAATTTGATCACATACCATGCACACCAATCACCATTCACACTGAAAATACGTATATTCCCTATCTATTCAACAATCATGTGCATCACGAGCAGTCACTCGTTCTAGATCTACGCATGTAACGTCATTGGGTTGCCACAATATACATTTTGATGAGACACTATAATATACATTTTCATGATATGACAGTTGTTACAATATCAGTTTCCCATAAAATTGTAATTGTAAAGCAATCCCTCGCCAACCACGGACTTGCCAACTGTGAATCATGTATATACGATTTTTTATTTATATACAATTATTAAGCGCAGCCTGGAAATAATGTAAGTATCCACGGGTAAGCGCACAGGTCCGCAACATGCATTTACAAATTTTGCGGGGTCATGGTCCTCCTTCGTACCACAGCGCCAACCGTGGTCACCTGATGCGCTATGTAGCTTATCAGCTGTCCATCTGTTTTGTTGTACTCTAATTTAACCTCCTTCTTGGTTTTTTCGGTAAAGTTACGTAGAAGGGAAATAATAAAATAATGAAGGTTAATTTTATTTAGAGGCATAACATCGTTGTTTTCAAAGACATTGTACTGGACTCACCGCAGAGAACTGTAGCGACACGACCGCACTATATGACATCTGGCACCAAACTGTGCCACATGCCCTCTCGCATTACCTTGTGGGAGCCTTGGTACATCTTTCGACCTGAAGACGTACTGATAAAAGTTATTTTATTTTCCAATTCCGTTCTGATGAAGTATATGTACGCCTGCCCAGTCATCTATGACTGATGACCTAGAGGAAAGAGGAGGGTGGGCTGAGCCCCTCCTCCTTCTAACCACCTCTACCCCCATCACCCCATTGTCATCATTAATATTAAAGGTATGTAAAGTTAATGTAATGTTTATTAATGTTTTATTATGTCATTGTGTAATGTACTCTATTTTGTTCGATGTTTAGTTCATAAACAGGCAAGTTAGTTAAGCTATGTTGAATCTGACCATGGCCCTATTTCCCACTGGCCCTGTACTTTATCAACCACAGATTTGCCTACCGTGGCATTTTCCCGGAACCTAACCCCCGCGGTTGGCTAGGGATTTTTGTATTTCAAAAATGTATTATGTTATTTTTATGGTTGTGAAAAGATAATTGATAACCGTTTTTTTTAAATCGACTGATTATAAAAGTCAGGAATATGTAATCGATTCCAGTGGAATGTTAATAGTGAATACATCAATTGCCAAAATGTGTTCATAATGTTGTTTTGCAGAAAGGCTTCCAGCAGAGGGAGCTCTAGAGGGTATTTGGTCTACTCTTCAACGCTAACTAGACGTATTGGAAGCGGTGGGCGTTCCCACAATTTACCCCAACACACACGACCCGCCAATCGACTTAACTAACGTGTACCCATTTATACTCAATGGGTGGACAGGCAGGGGAATTTAATAATCTTACTCCATTGTTTCCACTGCTGAGCCGGGAGATCGAATCAAACCAGCGATGTCTGGATTCCAAATACAGCGAGCCAGAACATTACACCATAGCAGCTCCTATCATTTCTCAGTTATAAGTTTAAATAGTATGTTTTTTGCAAGACATTTCTTTATGTTTAATAAACATACTATGCAAAAAACGATTATGACAACCTTACTTTAGACTGCAACTAGAATATTGCATTATGTAGCAACTGACTAGTGTAGCTGCTGCTCCACTGATCTAATTAAGGAGGTCAAATAAGCCGTTATTTTGTATCTCAGTATGACCCAGTTATTTTTTCAAATATCTTTTTCAAAACGCTCAAAATTTTCATCAAAAGCATGATCCAGAATGAAAACAAGGTAATTCATGTTATACATGATTTCCAACATGTTTGTCCTCGTAAGCATTTCATAATTCCAATAATAGTGGTAGTGCTCACATCAGGCATACAGATAGTAGTAGTCTGCAAGGCTACGAAATGAAGCTATGTCACTTGCAATGACACATGGGAAATTATGTCACACGCAGTAACACATTGGAAACCCGTGACTTAATTTGGCTGCTTTTGAATAGGGTAATTCCAAAATAACACATTTAGCAGAGCATTTAAAGCATACTCACTTCACGGTGTCATCTGGTCCAACACCAGTGGAGACTAGGCTCTAAGAAAAGCCGTCTCGGGTGTGGACCAATCAAATTCAAGGACAGTGCATATCATTATCAGAGTTGTTTCTTTTTGTTTGCATTTTTGACTGCTTGTGTTGTGGTTATTGCAAACATTATCCCTTGTATAAAGGTGTCAGTTTTTGTGCCAGCTAAAAGGGTAAAAACCTATTACTTACTCACTTTGTTCATTAATTCCTATATTGAATGAACAAAGATGTCCTCCTGTTTTCCCAGATATCCTACATCTGTGAAAACGACTGGAAATCTATCAACGAGCTTTTCGCTCATCAGATTTTCTAGTATAAATAAGTACAGTAAAACCTTGGATTGCGAGCATGATTCGTTCCGGAAACATGTGTGTAATCCAAAGCACTTGTATATCAGTTGTGATCACGTGACGCTCGGCAGACAAAGCGTATACGTACTACTCGTATTGCAAGACTTCACTCGTTTATCAAATTGATATTTATTTAAAAATTTTGCTCGTCTTGCAAAACACTCGCAGACCAAGTTACTCGCAATCCAAGGTTTTACTGTATTCTGATTCAGATATTTTCAGTGTCACCATACATATTCTATCGTTTGGTACATTATTTTTGTACTTTCATATTTTAAAAGAACATATGATGAGCTTTTTAACCTGGAGGCTAGACTATTGCTGCTTTGCATATGCACGTATTTTGATGGCCTTGCATAGACATACATATTTTTTATGATAATAGTGTTCCTAATGATCTTTCCTATAATATGAACTGATATTTAATTTCAGGGTCGCATTTTTTCCCCACTTCATGATCATTCTCAGCACAGAAAAATGTCTGGACAGGATGCCCTATCCAACATTCCGAAAAAATATGCATTTTGTTTGCCAAAAAAATACAATGCAATGTTTTTGTATTGTAATGAAATGTTTGCAATTGTTTAAATTCACACATCTGGAAATAGTTGGTGTAAAGGAAATACTTTATATTCCAGTTAAACACAAAACATTACAAGAGCCATCTATTTGCCTTTCTCAAAACTGTAAAAATGTTCCTAACCATGGTCACAATAAAATATAATGTATTCTTGTCCATAGAGCCACAGCAGTATAACAAAACAGCGGTACACAAAGACATCTACACCAGTTAAATTGCAATCCCTACATAGTTGCATATTGGACCCTTAGTTGCATATTGGACCCTTGGTCAGGAATGTAACCTATTAACCATTGATTATCTGGGATAATATAATTAATCGGTCTTGACCTACATCGCCTATATTTTTCTGCACTGTCCTATATGCCTAAAACACCTGTTTTATGAATGGAGGTCACCCACCCAAGCATGATCAAGGCTTAGGTCTACTTGGTTAGTGATTTCTGATGGGATCAGGCAAATTCCAAGTGATTTGGTATTCGTCTACTTTATCAAAATTTTATTTTATTCTTAAAATATGGAAAATGTCTTCCAAACCAATATTTATATACAGTTTAAATCGTTCAAATCCAAAGTGTTATTTTGAATGTATCCCAATACATATCTCATTCATAAACCCAATTGTATTGTATGTATGCTTGGGACTGTGGTACATGCCCAGGCATGCCCAGTAATAGCACTTATTCCTTGGACCATAAACAGAGCCTGCAGAACTGGGGCATGTGACACTAGTCAAATACTACGATGCCTATGGGTCATGAAATAATTGGATCCTCACAAAATGATAAAACACAGCAAGCTTATCAATTACATTATTTTTATTCTCCACAATAATCTTCAAAATGGTGTCACGATAAGTTAATTTGTGGATGATGAGTTATAT